ATAGTGAATACTTAATTTACAAAATGTCAGTCAATTGTCTCAAACTTGATTGTTTCTTTTTTAAATATCAGTCATTTATCTTACACTTCAATGTTCCTGTATTCCGATACCAATTGCTTTTTCTTCCCGTTCTTTCTTCCTCGATCTTCTTGAGATTCTGCTGCCAAACATTCTATTCCTAATTGACGTTATTTACTACTGATGTCGATATAAGTGGCACACACCACAGGAGGAGCATAGGCCGCTCATCAGCATTCTCCATCTAACTGTCCTGGACAAACCTTTCCAGTTATTTCCAGTTGCTATTCATCCTTCTCATATCTGCTTACGATTCCCAACGTAGTGTGTTCTTTGGCCTTCTTCCTTTTCGTTTCCCTTCAAAATATCAAGTTAGCATTTGCCTCCAGCTCTTCTAGGGCTACTGCCTTTTCCAAGCCCGGGTAAAAGAGGAGGGTTGGGCATGGGGTCGGCGTCCTCATCCTCTAGAAATCAATCTTGTTAAAATAGCGTTAATCAGAATAAACAAATTAAACAAGAAAACTCATAACAATGATGAATGTGAGTACATCCAGCTGACGAGCCTCAAATAGGATGAAATGCAAGTCCTGGATTCTACTGCTAGCCACTAATCATCTCTGCTTAATCAATCATATTCTAGGAGTCGTTATGATAGTAAGCGGGGAAAAGCCTGAATACATTTTCCCATTCAGTAAAGATCAAATGACTATCCAAAAATGTCTAGAGAAGCGACGGATTGTGTCACATTGACTGAATAATCACATAAATTTAGTGTGTTTATGGAAGCTTTCAGAATGTTAGGGATATCCATAAATACCCGAGTTTCTTGTACATTAACGAACCATGGAAGTCAAGATTGTTTTCATATTTTTCACCTTAGTTATTTTAACTTCTTAATAAATCAAAAGATGTTCTTATAACAAAAGTACATCATCATCACCAACAATAACACAGGACTGAGGAGAAATGTCCAAATCTATTACCTTATTTCTTATCTAGTCCAATATGCAGTTTATATTTTGATAGCTTAAACTACGTAATAAAACACATGTATATATTCATTACAGTAAGTAGCTGACGAAAAATACCTTTCCAATGCAGTATAAAATGAAATGTATGTTAGATTTCATGAACTTATTTATCAAATCTACTTTGGAAGATAGTAATCAAAGAATAATGACACTATTCAAACTTCCTTCAGATTACCCTTTTACAATTAGATAAGACAATTAAATTTGATAAAATTACAATTTTAGGTAATCAAATAGTGAAATTTAACAGATCACAACTTTCTAAATACATTTAGTGTTAGAAGTACTTTAGAATCGACATTTACCAAGAGGCTTTCTCTAAATTTGAATATTAGGAAAACTGACTTGGTATCACATTTTCAACGTAGCTTCAAAGAAGATAGTGTAATCATTATTTCTATTATGCTGAACGCATTGATCTACATAGTTTTCGTTTGAACCACTAGACATAATTCCCACGCTAATCAATCTAAACTGCCTTATAATTTATAGTTCGCTTAATAACTTTGTATCACTGATTTAGACTTTGTTTTCGGAAGTACAATGCCAGTTTTGAATATTACGGAAATATACGTCGGAAATTAGTTCAGAATTAGTTTTAGAGTTATTTAACGATCAAAACAATTCACTGTACAATGATGATCGGTATTTTCTGATCTACTACCACATTTAATAAAACGAGATTTATTTCTATGTTGTGTGTATCGAATGAGGTACAATCAAAAATTGACTGAAATAGTAACTGTTAACTACTATTTGCAAGTAAGGTATCCTAAATGTTTTGAAGAGGAATTAGTGTTACCCATAATATTCGAACCTATTTCATTTACAATCGATTGGTCATTGGGTAAAAATGATTAATGTCATAAGTGTCAGAACCTTCTTAGTGAAGATAGAATTCTAACGATTAGGTAGCTAGATGGCCATCAGTCAAAGTGACTCGATATCGCATGTACTATGTTGACAGGTGAAATGGTCGTCGGAAGTAGTCGACAAGAAACCTTGTTTGACCTAGATTTCATGTTATTTGACACTCGCCAGAAAAGTGAACCTATAATCCTGAGGAAACTGGTGCTCCCTTGAAGTTCCGGTCCTGTGTTGCCCAGCTTCAAAGTCACATACATTACCATTGAGCTATCCGGGCCGTGACTGACCGCCACTAGGACCGAGATGTATTTACAATAGATTGACCTCAATATAGTAACCAATCATGCATGTTGGGTCAGCGCATTGGTAAAGCTGGGTGACAAGGGATTGGATCATCCAGGGAGCATCAGTTCTATCAATACTACACATGCACCTTGCTAATGAATGCCAAATAGCACGAAACCTAGGTCGCCCAAGGAATCCTGCCGACTACACCCAACCACCAACTTACATCCTATTTCACATATGTCACAGGCAGTCAAAGATTTCACTATTAAACAAACATGACGGTAATTTAGTGACTAGGATACAGGAGAATTCCTTACTCCTACATTTTTTGACCTGATCACATGATAGTTTCGTTCGCATTCTATGGATTACAGTTTATTTGGAATATCTAAATCTTTAACTTATGGATAAAAAAATACAATTTAGTTAGGGCTTGATCGATTACATTCTGTATATTTGAGTAGTTATTACTTGTTGAACTGTTGAAGTCTACACGGGTGTAAAATATTGAGTTCTAGTTAAAAGACAATGAGTCAGTCAATGTGTACACGTTTTTTTTAATACAAGTACTGCTATTTTATTATGACAAATATCCTCATCATTGTTATTAATTCGTCAACTGAACTTGTACTATGACAATGAAATCACTAACACATAACAGAAACGACATTTGTTTCACTACTTATTATCTAACATCTGAGTAGTTATTCGTCATCAGACTACCTAGGCATTACAAACCTAAAGAGAAAAAAAACAGAGTCTATAAAATTGAAAATATTAATTTTTACTTAATGTGTATGTGTGATTCATAATTGGGTCTGACTGATTTTTTTTAAAATTAAAAGCGAATAAGCTGATGTTAGGGTTTAGTGTTTATATAACATTGATTTCAACAGATCTGTTTTAAAATACACGATGGATTCAAATCGATAAAAATAGAAGTATGGATCTGTGGGATAGAAAAATTCAATTGATTTTTAACATTAGACAAGTCTGCACACATTAGTTAGAAATATTCCTTAAGGGAAATATAAATAACGTTATAAGCTATAGCCAGACAATCAGATAGTTAGATTTATGTGAAGCTATAAATAGTAAAGTTGGGTATAGATGTAATTTAGTTATACATATTTATCGTTGAAAAGAAAAGCAGGAAGCCGTGAGCAGTAGAGTTCAATCCATGTCACATATGAGACAGTTACCCACCACGAACAATAGATGAAAGGTTGTGAGAGATCATGGATTGATTGGAGTTAAATACTAGAAACATTGAATGCCGGTTTAGCGGCCAACAGGTCAGGTGTTTGCACGCGAAACTTAAAGTCCTAGGTTCGACACCCCTACGCAGAGTCACGGATGCGCGCTGCCGAGGAGTCCCATACTAAGACGAGACGTTCATCCAGTACTTACAGGTTTTCAATGGTGGTCTGGCTAAGAGTAAGTCGTTATTTAAAGTATGAAAAGTCTACAATCCCCAGAAATCCTTCATAGTAGAGGAAAAAGTCCTAAACTTCTGTCGATCAAATGTGTCATAGTAAGTTTATGACCTTGTTTAAATTTAGACAATCCAGTTTAATTTTGTTAGTTAATCAACCCTTAAATTTTTCGACATTATAGTGGTTTCCCAATATCATTTGGTATTTTGTCAAGCCAATAAAACACAATTAGAATTCAAAGTGACTTGAAACTTGGACTGTCTCTCTCTCTCTCTTATTTGTTTACAACATACAGTTTAATCTATTGACACAAATAACTAATATTAACAAAACAAAAAACACCCCCAGAAACTACTGATAATATGACACTAAAAAGAGAGAAAGTCGAAATTACTCAAAAATTGAATAAATTTATTTCATAAGAAAAGCAGCAACAAATGAACCAAATGTGCATTTTATATGCAGAAATAGAGTCAGGAGTGGAATAAAATATAGATATATAAATAGTAAAACAAACATTATATATACGTACATACTCTGATTATATATGTACTAAAATAAACTTTAATTCCATTGACAAAAATACTGCAAAAAATTATTGACAACATAAAAACAAAAACGTTCATCCTAATCTTTTTACACCTTGACTGAATACATCTATTCTGTAGGCCAAAAAATACCGAATGTGCTACTACAATCTGGAGGTCAAAACGTCAGGAACAAGAACTAATATTCAATAAAAAATCTTTTGCTATACAGCAATCCCTATGGGGAATAGAAAAGTTGGAATGTGGTGCAGAAAACTGGAAACATTAATAGTACTGCTAATAATAAAAGAACATAACAACAGATAAAAGGACTAAGGCAATAAGATGAGTGATTAATCGACATGTAGAAAAAGCGTTTTCATCTTTTTTTTAATCATGAAAAAAGTTCGAAAGCACCGTACAAAAAATGAATCATAGTTCTTAATAGAGAAAAATAATAAGGCGAGTGGTTGGTAGGTTGGCTTGTAGTAAGAAAACAAAATGAAAAAAATATAAAAACTAAGGTGAAAAACTGACAGTGAGTAATCTTGGGGGAAAAATACTGATTCAATAAAGCTCAAAGGTAGTAATACATTTCAAAATGTGCTGTTTCAAGTACTTCGTTTCTTTTTCTTCTTTTAGAAAAAAAATGAATTGAAGTAAGAGAATATTTGAAAAAAAAACTAAATAAACAGATGGAAGACAAGAGGAAGAAGACCGGTAAGAAAAATGTACTAAGTATTTTCTAGAAAGTAAGAAATAAATTTGATGAAAAGAAAAAAACAAAAATGACTAGTTTGTTAATTTTTCTTTGCTGAATCAAAAGGAAAAGATTAGGATGATGTACTTGTAGAAGTTAGTAAATATGGTAATGCTACTTGTACTGTTGATGCTGAGGCTGAGGCTACCATTGCTGTTGCTGATGATGTTAGTGGGGATTGTGATATGATTGCTGTATTAGTTATACCTTGGATAGTGCCAATAGTACAACACGACTGTAATTGACGAATAGATGATAACATATTTTGATGTTGTTCATTTGATAAACTAATATCAATTGATGGTAATGTACCATTTTTAATTTGCTAATTGCAGGCAAAAAAATATGGAAAATTATATGCATGAACAATGAACAAAACTGTGTATTTAAAATAGATGTATTATGACTGACATTTATGTTTCATCCTACTAGGAGCTCATCAGTTCAATGGACCCGTCATATCCTACTGTTGACGTTTACAACAGGACTTGAACATAATGTATTTCATCTTAAACTTGTAATAACCAGCATTGTTACACGTCTACTTTTGAACAAACGAATTATTTCTAATCTTCCGAGTACTTTTGTCATTTATATTTGCAACTTTGAACATGTGCATGTAATCGTAAATAAGCGTCTATATGCTCACTTATATCTTTGATGTCTCTAAGTGTTAAATGACGTTCTAATTAAATAGTTAATAAGCTTACCATCTTTGATTCAGCTTCTCCGCTTTGCATTTCTCATCGTCTGTCTGCATAAAAGAATATCTGAAATAAATTCGTCCAAATAATGCTTATTTGACTTTTTACTACCGCCATTGCTAAAAAAGGGGGTCAGCTTAAGTAGAATAAATGATGTCAAACTGAGAATTTATATACATGGTTCATTTTCCATTTGTTTATGATGGAATCGGATAAAACAGGCCTAGAAACACTCAACATCTTATTCTCTGAACTACCTAGTTCGGATAATGATCAACTCGTTCAACAGTTAAGATGCTTAAATAGTTATTAGCAAGGATTAGAACTATACCGTTTAATTTCAGGATGAAAATTTCGAGTCCAAATGTGGATATCAATACTGGGATACAAGTATACCCAACTGATGAGCCCAAAATAGGACGAAACATGTGTCTTGAATAACACTGCTTGGCAAGATCCACTTATTGTAAATAACCTGTGACAAAATGGTGATAATGAAGTAATCGACATAAGACTCATATTTACGAAGATACATTCATTGGAATTTAGTCTTTACTATCAACAGTGTGATAATTCAAACCTATAACAATATACTATGTGGAATAAATGATAAAACAGGTGATGGGGCATGTGACGTAACAACATGTGAATTCATCTAACCTACTGTATTAACACTAGCTTACTGCTCTGTGATTATCTAAACAATTCTATAGACATCTACATAAGTTAGTCCAACAGTCAGAATTTTTTATGATGTAAGTTAAGGAAAACATTAGTTTAATCTATGGGGATTTTGAAAACTTATCACATAATTTATTGACACACAAAACCACCTAGAATATTATTGCATAAATCTGTAGAGTGTAACATTTGGTAAATCTCATGATAGGGCAGAAAAATATCAACTCTGGGATACATGTACATTCAGCTGACAAATAACAATTGTCTTATCATATACTTCAGCGAAATCAGTTACGGTATTGTGGAAATATGAAAAGAATAGGTTCTACTATACTACTTATTAATTAGTATCTATTTATAGTTTCGATAGAATGTAATGAACATTTTACTTCGATACAAAATCAATCAAGAGTTAGGATTTTATCGTAAGACAAAAGAACTTATTGTTTATTACGTGAATCTGAATAATTGCCACATTAACTAATCTTTTTGTTAAAATGATCTGACTATATCTTTATTGACTGAGGTGAATAGGTCATGGTTAATATAATTTACTATGAAGAAGTGGCTTGTATTAATTCACGAAACGTCAGAAATACTATTTTTATACTCAATAAGATATAACAAAAAATGTATTTATAATTAACTTCAGAAGTTACGATTTATAAAATCAAGTAATACATAGCAAACTGCTGCTAAATATAATTGCCATTAGACAGGTAGACGGCCGCCGACACCGAACTTCTAGGGCTGATGAGACTTTCAAGATAACCGAAGAGGTCAAGGACCTCATCTACTTCATTCCTTATGATTAGAATAGGCACTAAAAAAAGCAGTATTTTGCATTTTAGCAAGAGGAATACATCCAAAATATCTTTCAGGTGTTACTAAGCTACTTCCATCATTCTTTTTAATCAGGACTACATTACTCTGCACGCTCTAATTCATTGAGACATTCTCCAGGTAGAATACCTTTTACAATTCCTTCTTAAAATTTTGACAAATCTTAGCACCATATTTTTGTTAGTCTTACCATATCCAAGCAGTGCACTGAAGAGATTTATAATCAGATACCAGCAACCTACAGATACCTTCTATTTTTATTCGCCATTCATGGCTGTGAAGCAATATAGAGCAAAATCCTGAGTAATGTAGTTCCTCTCATTATTAGTTAAACAATAAGTATCTTCCTTGTAATGTTATAGGAATGAAAATATCCAAGTTATTTTTAAAGTATTCATAATTGTACCGTCATCATCATCATACGCGGCGTAGAACCTAACACATCTATGCAACGGTTGAAGTTGTCATACCATGTTACCACAGCGAATCGGATTTATTTTAAGACGACTCCTTAAGTCATAGGAGTAGTAATAGTATCAGTAGAAGTAAAAAGGTTAGGTATGGAAAAAGAAGAAAAAGGAATCAGGTGACTTTGGGACTCAAATTCTGGAGGAAGACAAGGAGTGGATCCGTTTTAGTCACTGAAAACGATTCTGAGCCGTATCACCTGAAGTCTCTAACAATTCGTTACGATAATTACGCGGACCCCGGTCAGGTAGTCTACACTTTTCCACATATATCAGTCCAATTGTCAATGGCTTCGTATACTGGTATCGCGTCTAGGGTTTTGCAGCCCCTAGCTTTAACTTACACTAGTTAACATCTCACGTCGACGTAGGTGGTGGTTGAGAATACGTTATATACTGATATAAGTAAATTCATAATGCAGATTTAACATACTGACATATATATTTTGCAAACTGATAAATAAATTACAAAACTTACTGATTGACTTCCGTAGATAGCAGTTGATAATTGACGCGTACAATTACTGCCAGTAAATGCTGTATTATGATGTGATGGATTAAGTATTGACACGAATGTATTTGTTTGATGATTTTGATGTAAATTATGTTGTAAATGTGTTGGTGACATTTGATGCATAGAATTCGATTGTCCTATACAATTAGAATGTGAATGAAATTCTAAAATTGGTGTTAACGTAGCATATGGTGATAAACATGAACCATTCATTTGTGTATTATTATTGTTGTAAATATTAGTTAATTGTTTTCCAACTTGTTGAGTTTGACGACTGATTGGTGTACCATCATAATTTATAGACTAAAATAAACATAAGATATTTTAAAAGGAAATATTATGGTAACGTAATAAATACTCCTAGTTTGTAATAATAAAATCGGATAGCTGGATTGTTTTTTATAAGTAAAAACACTATATTCATTAGAAGCAAAATATTCAAACAACCATAAACATTGGAACATGATATTAGAAACGAAATCTCTTGACAATTATAAAACACACACGAAACTGCTTATTTGTAAATTAGTAGATACAGTAGTATAGACACAAAATAACTAATTTTAAACAAATAATTACAGTTATAGTTTGTATTTTCTTTGTACAATTTCAATACATGAAAAGTCTTTTAATAAAAAAATTAGTGAACAAACAAAAACTTTAGTACACAGATTACAACAACTATTGACAATGTTTTCTTCTTTTACCAACTATTAACAACATTTGAAGCGGTAACAATTGATTAAAACAATTGAATTTTTTTGTTAGTAAAACGTCACATAAATATTAACTTTTTTCACAGATGTAATTCAACTCCAAGTTATTATTATTATTATCATTACGATTATATTAATCAAACGCTGAAAACTAACAGCCTACCTCAGCTGACTCCAATATACCGGATGAATGTGTACTATGATCAGTACTGTAATCACTAGTTGAATTGCCAGTAAATGGCGAACTGGTTTGATGAAATAACATCACTTCATGACTAGACCCAGTGAATGGGCCATACAAATAAGTTGCATTTGTTGCACACTGTTACAATTAGATAATTTTTTTGGTTGTTTTCATAAATCAAACATATAAAATAAAATGATAAAGATATTAATTAATAATTAAGAAGAGACAAAGTTTAATTATACTATAAATATATTACATATCCTTATATACACGTATAAACTGTAAAAGTCTTCAAAAATGTCATGTAAACAATTTAACAGAAGCTTGTTTTCTCATTGAACAGATTGAAGTAAAAATACAAAACAAAGAAGTAACTACTTATCATATATCTTAGAATGAAATGTATTTTGTTAATAAGCAATTTTTTATAATTGTTACACAGGATATACTTTCAAAAAAAAATTAATAACAGTTTATTTTCGGGACTATATTAAATGATTACAGATTATTCATCTTTTTTAATTTTCTGCACAGTTTCTACATCATATCGTGGTTTTTTTATTGGTTGAGTAAAAGGTAACCCTACCATATCATCATTTAAATGAACAGATTTTGAAAATTCACTTGTGGTAATATCCTCCTTTTCTTTTGTCTTCATCTGTTTGATTGAATTCATATTTGTATTAACTAATGATGATGAATTAATTGATGCTGTAGCTAAGGCAGCTAATGTTGCTACTGTAGTCATATCAAGATTCATATTAATCTCATTATCAAATATATTTGTATTTGGTTGCTGCATAACAGTAGCAGCAAGTAATGCTGCAGTGGATGCTGTTAAAGTTGAACTTTGTAATAATTGTAACGTTGATGATAAATCGCCAAATGATGATGGGTATAATGATAAAGTTGAATTACTCACCTGTTGAGGAAATTGAAGATTTGGATTTGATATTGTTGATGTTGATTTAGTAGCACCTATACTTGAAGATGTATCAATAGTGAACATGTTAGATTGAGGATTTGTTTCCTGAATGGTATTTTGAGATTGTTGTACTCCTGTTGACCAATGCCAATTAGTTGGATGTTGAGCAGCAACAGCAGATTGATTCTGTGTGATTGTTGATGTCTGATTAATGGAATGCTCATTGTTTACATGCGAAACACTATGAGTTACTGTTACAGTAGATGATTGTTGTTGATTTTGTTGGTTATTCTGAGCTGGATTTTGTGGCCACTGAACAGCAGCAGCCATAGCAGCAGCTGCCGCCATTACTGAGGGGGTTGAATGAGATTGCGGATTAGTGTTATTAACACTGACATTGACTGGTGTTATCTGACCAACAACCGCAGGAGTTAAACAAGAAACAGCTCCTGTTTGATGAAACTGTTGATGAAGTGCTGCCGTTACAGCTTGCTGTGGAATATGTGTATATGGCGATATGGCGGCAGCTGGAGTTGAATGTAAAGGAGGCAAGTAGAGAGGTGTTCCTCCATCCGGCTGTGGAAGTATCATTGTGGCATAAGGAGCTGTGGTCTAAAAATGATTGAAATTAATTCCTATTACTATTATTAAAAAAGACATTTTATTAAAAAAACTAAACAACTAGGAAAAGAATTCTCATGAATATATAAAATAACAAAGGTTACTAGTATCTTATCCTATCTACTTCAAACTGCTTATTAGAAAAGAATTACAGTATAGCTATCAGTCAATTTCTAGCAATCAAACTAATTACTCTTGTAATTGTTGAAATAAATATTATCTATAGTGTTAGTAAGATGTTTTATGAGTCCTTAATTAAAATAGAAATTGCACCTTATAAATAATTCGTTGTTATGGAGTTTCAGAATTGTCTATGATGAACACTGTTCAGAGTAGTAACTGTATTTTAGTAATTCGAAACTTAAATATCAGTACTACTACACGTGTTTTGACGTTCAACGAAAACGTTTATTTCAAAAGGTTTACAGTACGTTAGATTAAAGTATACTGCCTAATGACTGAGCATGCTCATACAAACTGTACATAATTAATTAAGCATTCAACAATTTTCAGTGTATTCACTCACTTGAGTCAATATAGGATACTCTTGGCCAGGTAAAGGGAATACAGCCACACCATTTTGAAAGCTATAAGGAACTGCACTTCCGGTGAATAGCAAAGTTGTTGTTAGGTCTATATTAGAAAAAAGAAACAAAATGTTACGAATGTGCAAACTTGGTAACAAAATAGTCAAATAAATTAAGAACAGTGTACATACCTGGACGAGGAAATATTTGTTGCTTACGAATTGCATGACCTATGTTGAGTTTACGGTCTTTGAAAACGAGTGTTTCCGACTATAATAAGAATGCTAGCAAAATATTATACTAACCTCGTTCTTGATAATTTTTTCAGCCATTTCCTGACTTTCGAAAGTAACAAATCCATAGCTCCTATTGAACACACATGATTGCCAGTAATAAAACATACCCTTTAGATGCCCCAAGGCGATCATTGATAATTTTGACATCTTTTACTTGGCCAAAACTTGAAAAGAAAGACTTAAGTTCTTGTTCGTTTGTCTAAAAGCTAAATGAAAAGTATGATTCAAACCTACATTTGATGGTATTCCGCCAACAAATATGCGGTTTGGAATAAGGGTACCAAACTTGGGTAGACTGGAAGATCCAGGAGTTAATGGATGACAGAAAGGAATTAAAGCGTTCTCGGAGATGAGTCTGTTAGTATGATCACCCGTTTGAATATTGATTCCAGACTAAGTCAATGGTAAATGGAGGCACAGAGTTGAATACTTTACAAATGCTAGTTTATATTAATTTGAAGACTTTATGGTATTCAGTCAAAACTAAATAAATGTGCACAAAGAGATTAAAATCCACCTCGTTAAACAAGTCAGTGGCTATCCGAACCCAGTATCCACGTAGATAATGCTTTGTGCATTTGAAAGGAAAAGTATTGGATTTGAGCCTCAGTGTAAAGACAGACACTAAGGCGAGAATAGATTCAGCCGATGAGTTCAAAAATAGAACGAAACACATGTTCTAGTTTTCACTGTTACCCACTTTCCAACTCTAGCTACAGATACTTGTCACCTAATGCTATATCAATTCAATCTGCACAGGATGCATATATGCTAAAAAGAGACCGATTAATTGCAGTCTTCAACATCAACGAGACGATCCAAACAACCCTTACGAAGAAATACGTAAATAAGGTTTTTAAGTCTGATATTGTAATAATTCTTTTGAGCCAACTAAATTGGATAAACAATCAATTCAATGTTATAAAACCAAATGTCCAAAACACAAATTTCGCACTTAAACCAATTAGTCATTTTTTTACTTTAAGCTTTAAACCGAATCCTCACTACCTAACAAAAAATAAATTTTTACAGGAAAAACTAGATCCTGAGTCCAATTAATACTTTAAAAACCACCCATGGACTGAGTGACAGATTTTCGTGTTGATAATGCTAGTCAAGCTATCAATTCATTCAAAATATTCAAGCCCATATATTACATAAACGACAGGAAGCTCATAACCTACCATTTTTTTCTTGCAAATAAAAGACAAAATCTATGGCCTCAAAACGAGTGGTTCCAAGATCAGAATCAAATAAAATGGGCAAAGACTTTTGTCAGATTGATCTAATTTCAATTTCGCGTGGGCAGAGGGCAGTTGTCATTTCATCTATTTCATATTCAAATTATTATTATTCAGATTAAAGTTTATTTCATTGGTTCCTTTATAAAGGGCCCCTCCAATTATTTGAAGCTGTGCGTTGTATGTCTATAAAACGCTCATTTAACAAACTAAAATATAGTGGGAGAAAATCGATTTGAGAATATCACTTGTGTGAAATCAATCCACCATTAATCTCATTCATAAGGATTCGAATTAACGTATTTTATTGGTTGGAAAAGAATTATAGAGACGAGTTCAACAAGTGCTCCTGAATATCATGAAGCCGTCTATTGAGGTAGTAGTGTTATACATTTCAGTTTTATGATGTAACAAATTGTTTTTTTTAATGAAAGTGCAGATCCTTACACCTATAGCCTAGAAAGAAATATATATTGACCAAACATTTTTGAATAGACGAAGCATTCGGCAAAAATGCAAAATGCAAACACTCATTGTACATCACATCTCATTGAAATGTAATGTTATAGCTTGAGTGAGAATAGGTTAGTAAGTATTTCAAAATGTCTTTATCAAAACATGAGATCAGTTTCACGACCACTTCCCTGTGAAAACTTTGATTATTTAGTGAATAAACTGTGAAAATCAAGCACTTTGAAGTTACTTACTTTTACTTACGCCTGTTATCCCTCGTCGAGGAGCATAGGCCACTCATCAGCACTCTCCATCCAATCCTGTCCTGGGCAATCTTTTTCAGTTGCTATTCATTCTTTTCATGCCTGCTTCCATATTCCGACGTATTATGTCTTCGGTCTTCCTCTTCTTCGTTCTCTTTCAGGATTGCAAGTTAGGGCTTGCCTCGTGATGCAGTTTGGTGATTTCCTTAATGTATGTTCTGTCAACTTTCAACGTCTTTATAGTTTCCCCTTCAGCTGGAATCAGGTTTGTCCTTTCTCATAGTAGGCTGTTGCTGATGGTATCCGGCCAACGAATATTGAGTATCGTGTGTAGACAACTGTTCATAGATACTTGTACCTTTTTTATGGTGATTGTGGTAGTTCTCCCAATTTCAGCTCTGTACAGTAGAACTAACTGTCTCGATGTCGGTATTGAAGATTGTGACTTTGACATTGGTTAATAGTTGTTTTGAGTTGGATATGTTCATCAACTGTAGAAATGTTGTCCTTGCTTTTCCAATCCTCACCTTTATGTCTGCATCAAATCCTCCAAATTTATCCATGATGCTTCTCAGGTACTTGGAAGATTGTACATTTTCCAGAGATTCTCGATCAAATGTGATTTGATTGGTATTTTCCGTGTTGTATTTGAGGATCTTGCTTTTTCATTTGTGTGTACTGAGGTCTACTGACACAGACTACTGCTACATTAGTTGTTTTCATCTGCATTTGTTTGTGTGTATGGGGTAGAAGGGATAGATCATCTGCGGAGTCTAAATCTTCTAATTGATTCCGAGCTGTCCATTGTATTTCGCTCTCCCACTCAGATATTGAGGTCTTCATAATCCATTCGACCACCGGACGAGTGAGAAAGAGGGAGAGTAGACAGCCTTGTCTGTACTCCAATGTCGAAGAAGTTTCCATAATGTCCCCTATCCACACTGTAAAACTCCTTCGCATAGTCAAGGAAGTTGATTTATAGTGACGAGTTTCATTCGATTGATTGCTCAACAATGATCTGTAGTGTCGCGATTTGATCTGTGCACGACCGATGCTTACGGAATCCAGCCTGTCTATCTTGAAGTTGGGCGTCTACTGAGTCTTTCACCGGTTCAGCAACACTCTGTTGAAAACGTTTCCTGGTACTGACAATAATGTGATTCCTCTGTAGTTCTCACATTTACTCAGATCTCCTTACTTTGATAACCTGATGAAATATACCTCTTTCCAGTCTGTCGGTGGCACTTGTCTCTCCTCCGAAATCTTCTTGAATAGAAGGTGAAGCCTGTTTGTAGTTACTTCAATTTCTGACTTAATTGCTTCAGCTGGCGTGTTGTCGGGTCCTGCTGCTTTCCCATTGCTGATTTGTCTGGCGACCATCCTGATTTCTTCCGTCGTTTGTGAAGTGACATCCATGGGAAGGTCTGTGCGTGCTGCTTCGAGTTCCGGTGGGTTTGATGGGGCTGGTCTATTCAACAGTTCCTCGAAGCATTCTACCCATCTATTTCTCTGTTCTTGAATCTCGGTGATTAACTTGCCTTCCTTGTCTTTGACCGGCTCTCTGGTTTACTATATATTACCGTCAGTTTCTTCGTAGTATCATATAGCTATCCTATATTTTCTTTCCTTGAAACGTTTTCCGCTTTTGTTACTAGCACTTCCGCGTATTTATGCTCATCGGCTCTAATACTTTTCTTTACTTGCTTGTTTGCTTCAGTGTATTCAAATTGTGTCGTGACTTTCCCGGCTCTTGTTCGTCTGTTGTTAATTGCTGTCTTTTTGTTCTTCCTTTCTTGGATCTTGTCCATGATTTCTATGGAGAGTCATTCCTTATGATGAACCTTCTTGCGACCCAGCATTTCTTAACACGTTGAAATGAATACTTCTATGATCTCTTTCCAGATGTCCTCCATAGTAGCTTCTTCTTCCTTCAGTAGATCTTGTAAGACTTGGAACCTGTTGATGAGAGCCATCTTGAATTCGTTGAATTTGTTAGTATCTCAAAGGAAGGCTGTATTGAGTCTTTGTGATGCTGTTCCCCCAGTTGTCCGGTGTTTCTTTAGCTTCAGTTTCATCTTGGCCACAACCAGGTGGTGATCTGAAGCTTTGTCAGCCCCTCTTCTGGTTCTTACTTCTTCTATTGTCCTTCGGGCTTTTCTATTGATACAGATATGATCTGTGGTTCTCCGTGGTGTGATCCGATGAGATCCCTGTAGCTATGTGTATGCGTTTGTATTTGCTGATTTCCAGTACTGCCAAGTTGTATCTCCTCATTTCCGTTTCTATTTGACTGGTCCTCCAGGTCTACTACATTGTCAGAACATTCCATGTACCTATAAAAGTTGTTGCTCAGGTTGTTACAAGGGGCGTCTACCTCATGACTTCTGAAGAATCTCGCCTTTCATCCTGAGGCATCATAGTTCTGCTTTCAACTCGAATAGCAGAGTTTAAATGGTTTAATTTATTTAATTTGGTTGGCATTTATTTAGCAAGGTTTTTTCTACGGGATGGAGTTGTCGACCTCAGGCCCAACCCTCCTCTTCTACCTGGGCTTGGGATCAGCAGTAACTCTAGAAGATCTACAGGCGGAGTTACTTCGAAGTTACTCTTTCATAAGTTATGGACTTTATATTATTTTTCTCTAGATTTGTGTACTGATTCCTCAAGTTCCTCTAGGTTGTTTTATTATTTACACTTTTAAAATAAACAATCTGTGGAAATTATCTAATTCGAAGCTCGTCTCACCACAGATTAGCATTAGCTGAAGAACAATTGAAACTAACGTTCCAACTTTCTGATCACCGGATGCTAACCAGTGTCATGTTCGTCTATTCTTTTAGTGATAATCGAATACGATCGATCAAGCTGCAATTTTACCACTAGTTAAAGTGATTCGCCATAGTATTCACTATATTTTGGATGTTAGGTGGTTGGAGGTAGCTGTCAGGATACTCCTATTCAGTATTGCTAACAAAAGCTAGGGTTCATTGGTTAGATGCTCATTAATAGTTTAACACTTCAGACAAGTGAATCAATGACTACACTTGGTACCGAACCTCTCACCTCCAAATTTCTCAGCTAACATAGTCCTTTTAGACCACTAAACTGAAATTAAATACATTTTAAATTCCTACCGACTCTCAATATATAGAGAGAATTAGATGATGCTATTCATGATCTGTCTCATTCCCAACATGTTTAAACATTATAGTTCATTAAATTCTTTAGCATTTATATTTATCCTCATCGTTAATGAACACATGATGATTATGATTACGTTAACTGCAAATTGGACTAACTTCCATAAACCACCGAGTCAAACAATATTCATATGTTCTTGAGTAGATAACTTTGAAATGGATTCTGAAAGTCATGAGTAGAGTCGAGCACTTGTCAGGTAATATCGTCTGGAAGTTTTCTTGGCAATAAATAAAAGCTACTTATTTATCTATGGAAATGTGAATCACTAGCCTTCAATTCAGATGTCTAAGGGCATCGTATTCACCACGAGAGCTGGAGGTATAAGATGTTGTATGCAGTCATGTGTGACCACTGGGATAGAGTCTGAAACTAGGAAAAACTATGTCTAGTTCTTCTTTCGTTTTCAGCTGACTTTGATTCCTGAGAAACACTATTCTCAATAATGAGTATGTGTGGCTTCTTCACGGTTTCTCAGTAAAATCGGATTACTTTTCATATAATTTTAAGTTATTTTCAGATTGTAAACAAAACCATTGGATAATTTCCTAACGATAATAGATATCCATTCTTTAAAATACTACATTTTCCATCGGATCATTGAAATAATGAATGAGTAAATAAATGTACTATGTTTCTTTCGAATTCACATTCTTCTCCTGTACAATGCTTCATAAATGTAATCCCTATTTTTCAATACACTGTTTATCCTAACATCAATGAGTTTTCATTATTTTTTAGTCAGAAAAACTAACCAATAATTTATGAGGTACAAACATGCATAGAAATGTACTATACTGATGAACCGATTTGATTTTTTGGTAGAGGCATTTGGGTTCTTTCGTGAAATTCAAATGGCAATGACGGACAGCTTATAGCTTAATAAAGAGCTAAACGAAAATTACCTAAACTCAGTTCTTAGGATGCTTGAAATGATACAACTACAGTGAATATGACATGATGTTCAGTCCAAATTACAAGAAACACATGTTACTGATATAGACCATATAATAAAGTGACAGTTACTCGTTG